AGAGTCTGATCAAAGAAGACACGAAAAAGAAAGCTTTAGGATTGAAAATAATACTCAGATTATATTGTCTCTCGATGATGGATATACAATGGGAATATGCTACATATATAACAAGGAAATATGCTACAAGACAAAAGGAAATAAAATATTTGAAATAATTCCTAAGTGGAAAGTTTACATTCTGTAGCTGCATTATAGTGAGACGTGATCAATCTTCTAACGGCGAATCTCGTAATATATGCTCTTTCGATATATTACTTTGGGTTATTTCTTCGTTATTGACCATTTCTTGTTCTCCAAGTAAGCCATCATCTTGTTCAAGTTCCATGTCTTCTTGATCATGTACGTTGGATATAAGCTCGGTTCCAACAGGAACTTCATTTCATTTGCGACACATTCACTTGTTGGGTTTAGAGTGGAGAAACAAACGCATTTATGTCCCAAGAAAAGGGCAGAAAGCTACTGAACTGTGTCTTTCATCTCCTACCTTTTGCTTTATTCTTCATGGTTTTTTTTTGTAGCCTTACCTTCCATTTCTAACCAGAGGCTCCACCAAATTCACCAAAATGAATTTGATCAATGAGCTCAATGATTATTAAAGGTTCACTCAATCAAAAAAAGAGCGTTCCAAAGGCTAATTGATGTTTTGGTGAATGGACAAGAGAGAATCAAAAGGGGTGGGTTATTGTTGTGATAAACAAGCAAAACACTTTTTCCCCCCTCTCATTTAGAGAATAATAATATGAAAAAAGTGTGATAATTTGATTGGTTAAGAGCCCCGAATTATATTGTATGGCTTGCGGAATTTGTAAAGACCAAACCTATCATATCTCAAAACAAAAGCTTTAAAATGAAGCAATTAGATGAGCAAATGATTCTCTAACCACAGCCGGGCCTTTCTGTTTTGTATTTGTAGTTTCTTTTTTAGTATTTATTTAGGTTCAGTTTTTTGTTTTGTTTTAATTACTACTGATTTTGAATGTTGTCAGGAAATAAGATGATTTACCTGATGAAAAATGTTGTAAATACGTGGATTAAGGGTATGCTGAAAATGGAAATGTTATTTATACAGCATCAATACATGCTATCAATTTTAATTTGTATTTTAAAAATGAAATTTTATATCTAAATTATTATAAGGTAATGAGATTAATTATTTATAGATATGATATAATTATGTATACTATTGTAAATATTCATCTATTTAGTTTATAACCTATAGTTTTCATATCCATAAGCATTTTGTGTCTGGATTTCTATACGAATTTGTTTTGGGTGAATAAAGAAAAAAAATCTGGTTGCAAACACAGTGGCGTTCTCGTAAATACTGTTCAATAACTTGGGTATTTGCGTCATACGAAAAGTAACATTTTCCTTGGGACTGGACGTGCTTCCCAGTTCCGACGATTTGTTACTCTAACGAACAACACGCGATTGTGTCCTTTTGTAAACAGACGTTTGATTTAACGGTTGAGGATCAATGGTATTTGCTTCCATTGACATTCAATGACCAATTTGTCCTTGGCCGAAAGAATATCTCGCGTCTCCTGATGAGGACGTTTTTGGTATTTTCATTTTTTACGCCTCCGTTCCTCCGTGCTTCCTCCTCTGTATTTTCCCTCCAAGGAGACGAAGCTGTATAAATAGCCTGTAGCTTCATTTCTCAGTCTCTTTTCTCTCTCTAACTCAGTCTCTCCTTCTCTCTCTCTCTCATACTCAGGAGAATTTCTCACAATTTTTTTCCGGTTGCTCTTCTCAGGTAAATGTAGAAATCAATTGCTTTGAATGGATTTCGTCTCAACGTTCGCTTCGATTTTCTGGACTTTGAAAAAAAAATTTGATTCCATTACAAAACTCGAGCTGTAACGATTCTTGTGCCAAATGCGGAGCTTATTTTATTCTGCGACTTTCTTTTTCTTTTTGTCTCTGATTGGTATGTTAATGCGTGTACGAAGCAAATCTGAAAGTTCTAATGGTTTGATTCACAAAATTTGTATGCAATGTTCCGTGAGAGATGCATAAGTTTTTATATATCGGATCTCGATTCGTCTTTGCTAATAGATATCCTCTGAGATTGTAGATCAGAACCAGCAACTCTCGCTGGATAATGGAAAACGAAATCGCTCCGATCACCTACGGCGGCAGTAGCGCCAGCGTCGCCGGCATCATGCAACTGCAAGGGGAACAAAGCTGCGGCGCCGTTTCACCTTCTTTCTACTCGGATCAACTTTACCAGTCAAGTCGTGAGGTCATGCAGCAGTACCAAGACATGGTCAATCGCCATGCGCTGTGTCTCACGCGCCTCCGTGAGGCCTCTCTGGAAGCGGAATCACTCCGTCTGCAGAATTCCAAGCTCCGATCTATGAATCGCGAGCTCAGTCAGCAGCTCAACCTCCTCATCCGATCCTCTGTTCAGAGCCACATCGACTACAACACTACATCGTTTCAGATGCTCAACGAGCTTAGCAACCTCTCCATCGGAGGCAACGATATCGGCGAAGGGGAGGATCAGAATCGTTGGGATGAATTCAACGATGAGAGTCCGACGAGTGTGATGGAGAACACAGATCTGGAGCGCTCTTCGCTGCCGAAAAGTATCTCGGTGAGGTCCAGCGGCTACTTGAAGGTGAGCCAAGGCGGTGGGACCAGTCATGTTGGAAAATCTCGAGGCGCCACGACTAAGCCAGGGCCTTCTGGCCAACTCAGCACGACGGTACTATCACAAATTCATACTACTGCTATGTTTCCGTTATGCAATTCTGGTTTTGTTTCATTGGTTATCCATGCGAAACTTGGGACACCAGTAGTTTTGTTGGTGTCTGTATACATATAATTCGTCTAGCTCTGGATAACCATCAAGACCGCGGACATGGTTGACTTTAGAATCTAGGTTCTACGATTTATTTGTCGAAACTCACATTTTGTAACAATTTGGGATAGTGATCACATCTCAGGCAGATTTTTTTTTTCAATTTGTTCTCCTTAAACTAAAGTATTCTATTACTATTTTCTTGTCCTGTCCTTGAGAGCTGTGGCTCAGGATACCATATTTGAACAGCTTTTGGTGATGAATGCAGCAAAAAGTGTATCTGCGAGGAGGGAAAAAAGAGGATGAGCGGATCGAACTCGAAGTGTACAACCAAGGCATGTGGAAGACTGAGCTGTGCAACAAATGGCAAGAGACAGGAGCGTGTCCATATGATGACAATTGCCAATTCGCTCATGGAATTCAGGAGCTGCGTCCAGTGATCCGCCATCCTCGTTACAAGACAGAGGTATGTAGAATGGTACTTGCAGGTGATATGTGTCCGTACGGTCACCGTTGCCATTTCCGCCACGCGCTGACTGAGCAGGAGAAGCTGATGAGTAGCTTCAAGGCCAAGCCCGTCAAGCTCAATTGACAGGTATATCTACGTTTGAGCCAAGCCTATCATGATCTGATCTGATCCATCTTTGTAAACGAACTTGGAGAGGGAGAGAGAGATTATTGGTATTAGTTTGTTGAAAGGGGGTGGTCAACAAACCATTTGATTTGATAGAAACATGGAATTCTCAACAATATATATATATATGGTTGCCAAAATCAATATATCTCTAGAGAAAAGTGGAATTTTTATTTTTTGTGTTTTATTAATTGTATGTTCAGTAATACAAAAAGTAAAAGTGATAATAACACTAAATTTATAAGTATATGTTGTGGTAATTAAAAATAACTACTACTGTATTCTGAATAAGAGTAATACTTAGAATCAAATGAAACGATTCATCAACATATTTGGATTCTGAAATTCTCGCTCTATTATTTAGTGAAGAAAAAACGGTAAGATATATATATATACGAATGGAAATTATATATATATATATATATATATATATATATATATTATAGTCATGCAGTAATGCAAGGAAGTCTGTTTGTAACTGTTTGCTTCTGTCGT